TTAAAAAGTAATAGAACTAATTTTACATACAGCTCCTGGTTCCTGGATGCAAAAGAAATGCAAAGATTCGTCTTTGCCATCACGACGTGCCATTGTAGACATTGCTTTCATCAATCGATTGCAATAAGGAGTCTAGAAAAGAAAAAAAAAATTACGGTTCACAATATGACAATATGTTATATAATTGTAATACAATAATCATTGATGTATAGCGCTGTGTAAACACCTCAGGGGACTATCATCCATTTTTGAAAATTGGAGGTGGCTAACACAGGATTAAGAACATTATTCAAATTTTTAGGCTTGTGATAAAGATGATGGAAATGAGGGTAAAGTACAGAGAAAGTTGGATTCATGGAGAGAATAAGCATTGAACATTAAAAAATCCAACTAACTGCAGGGATATATGGATTCATGCTTTTCTTGAGAGATTTAGCACAAAATAATGTCAGCAATCACAATTTGGTCTTTTGGTTTCATTTGCCAGGTTGCAATTTGTGACAATCTTTGCTACACATCTATTTAAATTTTGAGGTGAGTATACCTTTGACAGAGCTGGTTGGAATGTCCTCAGGAATAAAGAGTATGTTATCAAGAAAAAAAAGAGAAGTGACTTGAAGATGGACAACGAACAATGAAGGTAGTGAAGGAGAGCAAGAAGAAGGGACTAAGCATAAACTACAAGACAGAATGCATGGCCATCAGTAAAAAGATGAGCCCAAAATGCGATTTGAATGTCAGGGACACTAAAATCAAGCAAGTGTGGAAGTTTAAATATCTGAAGTGTTTTAACAGAAGTGTGATACTGAAATCTGAAGATGTATTGGGATGGCCAAGAAGGCATTCCAAAAGCTGGACTGAGTATTGAAAGACAGGAGGATTTCTTTGGTAACAAAGAAAAGAATACTGAGCTGCTACATGACATCTGTCATCCTTTACAGCAGCGAATGTTGGACGGCCTCTTCAAAGATGAAGAAGAGACTCGAGGCAACAGAAGGATGCTAAGGATATCATGGACTAAGCGTTGAGCAAAGATGATGTCTTAGAGAGGATGCAAACAAGAAGGAGGCTTATACTTAACATCAGGAAGAAGCAGCTGAAGTTTCTGGAACACATAATGAGAAAAGAAGAGACTCAAGGCAACGGGGGTATGGTTCTACAGAAGGATGCTAAGGATATCATGGACCAAATGTGTGAGCAACAATGAGGTTTTGGAGATGATACAAACAAGAAGGAAGCTTATACTTAACATCAGGAAGAGGCAGCTGAAATTTCTGGGACACATAATGAGAAAGGAGGGCTTGGAGAATCCAATACTCACAGGTCGAATAGAGGGAAAGAGAGATAAAAGAAAGCAATGCATGACATACCTGGCAGGCTTAAGCAAGTGAATGACGGAACGTGGTCTGGGGGAGGTGGCAGAGGGACGGAATTTATTGAGAGCTACAAGGGATAGGAGGAAATGGAGAGCCATGATCGCCTAAATCCTGAAAGGACATGGCACATAAAAAGAAAGAACTCTTCTCAAATGAATTTATTGTTTCTACATTGAAAACTTGGAAGGATATTTAAAAAGAAAAAGTTTGGAAAATCACAGATTTACGGTGATTGAAAATTTAGGTCTGAACATCATTCTCTGACAACTTGGAATTATGCAAATATTTTAGAAATCAACAGATCACAAATGATCTCTGGTCTTTTGAACAGGAGTAGAGGTTTATCCCTTGTTTTCTGTTTAGGATTGAGTTTTCAGTTTCTTCTAAAGTCTTTTCCTTCTCTTTCGCGTCTTAGTGACATTATTGCCTTGCTTGGCATGAATTGATTAAAACAAATATTTTTTAAAAGTTCAAATAAACAATACTCAAATACAGTTCCAAATTTAGTCTGGCACAAGGCTAGAGTTCATCCAATTATTACCAAATTCATTAACCTTGCTAAATGCCATGATAGTCAATACTACTAACATTGAAAGCCAGTCCTGCTGCATTTTTAGCACAAACAACAGGAAACAAAGGATAAACCTTTAATACTGTTCAAAAGACTAGGGAGGAGTGTGAACTGGGCGATAGATGAACCAATCTACTCTATTGTGAAGAAAAAATAAATAGTAAAAATTTCAGAGGTTTGGTTTGGTTTACAGCATATCAACCTCAATGGGTTATTTAATGCCAACAAGATTTTTATTGCTGCTAATACTCTTTTCCTCAACCTTCAAAAATGTCTTACTGGTAATATTTTTTCTTCAAAAATGTATTGCTGGTATTGAAACCTATTTTTACACTTTCATAGTGTTTTGATCCCAGTTTGGAGGATAACTATTTGCCCATAGCTGAGACACTAACAGGTGCTACCACCCTGGAGCCGGGAGGACCCGAGAGTACCAGGAATTAAGAGGTGGTTCCATGCTCCTTAAAACCTCTTGATTAGAGGCCTTATTGTCGGATGTAGTTTATCGTCTTACCCAGGATGCCAGAGTTTAGGCAGGGATATTAGAAGTAAAGAGTTCAAGTAGTATTTAGAAGGGGAATGTTTCCAATATCAAACAGGAAATTCAAGGGATAAACCTCTACTCCTGTTCAAAAGACTGTAGAAGAGTGTGAACTGGGTGATGGATGAACCTATCTACTCTTATTATTTTACTTACCATCTTATCATCTTCATCGACACGGAACAATCCAATCAACTGTTTCAACTCTGAGGATTGTATTGAGAGTGTACCAAGTATTTCCACAAGATGAATCAAGTTACCTGCCAAAAAAATTGAAGCAAATTAATTTTAGCAATAAATTAAGCAGTCATCATACCAAGAAGAAAACTGCATGGTTATCCTTTTAGTTTTCATTTATGCAATGATAAAATAGTCAATTGTTGATCTTTCATTTAAATTTTTGAAGAATCAAATATTTTACATGCAGATGATTTCACACCTACAAAAACAAGTCACCTGTTTACTCTTTTTATCTTCTTTAAACCAAACTTATGTCTATTATTTATGAAAATGACAATTTGCCATTAAATAATGTGAAAAGGGTTGATATGCTGACTGCTTTGTGGAAATTGACTCCCAAAAGGATGCTTCCCCATAAACTCTGCCACTTACTCTCTAACTCAAGTGGTTCTTTAGCCTTGTACAGAGTGAACATCATTATTGAAATAATAAAATAACAATGGAACCCAACCATGATTAGAATGACCAAGAAGTTTTTTTTTTTTTTTTTTTTTTATCTGAGTCATATTTGTCTAGTGTTTTATGACCAACAGTAAAGCCTAGAAAGTCAGATCTTCAAGGTAGCTACCAAGTGACCAGAAATAGAGAAAAAAAAAAGAAAAAAAAAGAAAAAAAAAAAAGAAATAATAAATATAAAAAAAACTTTAAAGATCTGTGCCACTACAAACCAGAAGTTATTAATTTATGGTTTTTGGGCTTTATATATTAAGGTGACAGAAAAATTTTTATTTAAATATATGTTGATGGACAGAAAAGTCGGGATGCCCTTTAAGCCTTAAATTCAACCAAGACTGAAGTGGAACTCATACATATGATCCACCTCCAGGGATGCTGGAAATAGGGTCAGTTCACTATATCGCTCCAGTAAATTCAGGACTCTTCCTGCTATCCTCTACCATTACAAGAGCCAGTGCAGGCCAAAAATGAAGTACTGCTGCCATATATGGGCAGGAGCCTCCCAGTCTTGATAGCATTCAGAAGTATCTGTGTCCTTAAATGACAAATTTTTTTCCTTTTTTACTTTCAACAGATGAGAATTTGGAAGCCTTGTTGCTCTATCAAATTTCCATGGAAAACTTTTTTATTTTCTCCAGTTTTACAATTTTAGTTTCACCAGTTCCAACTTTCATTTCTAAGACCATAAAATGCCACGCCCATTGTATTGAATCACCCTCATTTTCTTTATATTCCATTGATGAGATATGTTTCACTTAAGCAGCTTCCTCCCACAAAACTCTGCTTTGTAGAACTGACTATCTAGCAATTTTCTATCATTTCAATAATATAACAGTTCAATATTAGAATTATCCATTATTTTTTCTGTAAAAGGGTGGAAGTGAAACTTATATCTCACCAATGGAATATAAAAGGGAATGAGGGTGATTCAATACAGTGGGCATGGCATGGCAGGTCTTAGCCATGAAAGTTGGAACTGGTGAAACTAAGGACTGTAGTTTGTCTAAAAATTTTTCATGGAAATAACAACAGAGCAATGAGGCTTGCAACGTCTTCCTCTGTGTGAAAGGGGTTGCAGAATGGAAAATAATTTGTCACCCACAAGGACAGACAATTTTGGATGCTATCAAGATTGGGCAGCTCCTGCCCATATATGGCAACAGTACTCCATTTTTGGCCTGCACTGGCTCTTGTAAAGATAGAAGTTAGCAGGAAGAGTCATGTATTTACTGGAGTGGTACAGGGGACTGACCCTATTTCCAGCATCCTTAGAGGTGGATGATATGTACAAGTTCCACTTCAGACTGAGTTAAGTCCCAATAGGCACTCAAGGCATGGGAAATCCCTGAGGGAACATCTGTCCATCATAATTGGTGACATTTTAAGGTCCTTGAACAATTTTAGGTGGATATGTCCTGTTTCTGGCTTTCTTGGCGATTTATTCAAAAACACTCATCCATTCTGGGTGTTCTCATTCCCCTTAAATGGTGAAAGTTTTTCCTCTATCTTTTTAGAAGACCAAACTTCAAAAAGAACCATATGTTAGTCCATCAAACAGAAACACCTCAAATTGAGATAAATTCACCTCCTCCATTTCTGCATGGGGGTCCATAGTATCCTGTTGTGACTATTCCTTCAAAGCAGCATTCATATCAATGTACTGCAAAACAAAATTTTAATTATTTGCAAATCATATTCATTATCAACTTTAAAAGAATGAATTAAACTGTTTAAATGAATGATTAAACTAAATCCATAACAAATACTTACTGACAGCTTTGCTATTTAACTGTTTTTCTTTCTTGAGTGCGTTTAAAATGACTCCAATCATTCCTTCATTGCAGCAAGTCATCACATTAAAGCGGCCATGACAGCAAAGAGATTGGGTTGGGTTTTAAAAAAGTACTTTGTTTGATTACTCTGCATTAAGTGGATATCAGGCAGCCAATCAAATAAGAGTAAAGCAGCTGGGACATTGCGGACATTTTGGAATTTCTTCTCATCAAATACATCTTCCACTACCTGCAGGTAAATACAGAGTAAATACAAAAAGTTCATGAAAAAAAAAAGAAAAAAAAAAGAGAATTGTGTAAAAAAAAACAAAAAAAGGTAGGACTAAAAAGTCAAAGAAAAAAGAAAAAAAAAGAAAAAAAAAAGCAATATTAACAATATTTACCAGCCTGAATGTCTGAGAAATTCTCCTTGAAAATATGCATCCTCCAACAGGAATCGAACCTGTATCCTATAAGGAACTGTCATATAGCCTGACATGCTTTTACCAATTTTGCCACAGAGGAGTGTATATTCAGGCCAGTAAATGTCATTAATACTGTTTATTATAAACAGAGCATTTACTTAAATATTTGTATCTATAAAAAAGAATGTATAAACAAAAAATGTCTTAAAATAATCGTTGGACTTTGTCCATTTCATAATATGTGACATCATTTGTTTACATTTGGGTATACTTCGAGCAGATATGAATGTACAAGAGAAAATCATGGAGAATTGTAGTTTAAAAACAGTAAAAACGACCTTGCTAACTGAAACGTTGCTCTATGGCTAAATCAGTAAAGCATGCCTAGTTAAATAATTTGAGTTTCTTATAGGATAAACATTTTCAAATACTGTCGGAGAAAAAATTTCTATATGAAATTGGAAAGACATTCAGGCAAACTAGAAATGTTGTTAATACTGTTTATTATAAACAGAGCATTTACTTAAATATTCAATTTTTTAACTATAAATCATAAAAAAATGTAATAAACAAAAAATTTTAATAAAATAATTGTCAGATTTTTGTCCATTCCATGATATATATATAAATATATATATATATTATATATTGTAACCTAGAAAAGGTTACTGAATGAGGAATAACCAAAACGGAGGTTGGAATTGAAATGGTAATCTTTATAACATCAACAAAATACAATACTTGCCAGTGGTGGCATGGAGTAGGTAAACCACTACTAGTGATTGACTACTTAGACAGCATACGATGTTTACCTGACTTATTTGGGATGTCCACAAGGCAAATTGAATGTGGGAAATTGAGATTATGGGCTCAGGCAAAATTGCCCATAGTTATAATACATGGGATCGGATATCTGTTCAGAAAACTCCCAGATGAGACTTGCCCTTGGCATAGCCTGTTTCCGGGTTCATCTCAGCCCAAAGGCAGAGAGTTCGACAAGGCAAGAGCTTCCCATGCTGACAGCTCACACTGCCAGGCCCGGCAGCATATTGTCCCCACTTAAAATAGTTTCCAAATATATTTATGAGGATTGGAAAACCACCCATTAGTATTTGATAATTATATATATATATATATATATATATATATATATATATATATATATATATATATAGGTACTATATATATATATATATTTCTGTCCTTAAATTCACATATGAACTCAATACTAATAATAAAATCCCTTCTTGACATATTGATAAACACAAATAATAACAAATTTACTATTTCGCCATTTAAAAAACCTACCAGCATAAATTCATGTACACTTAACTATAATATTAATGCCCATATTACTACAAAATAGCAATTATAAAGAATCTAATACATCGTGCAGAAACTAATTCATCCACAAAACAGATTTTTTACAGTGAACTAAATATAAAACAGATACTTATTAATAATAGCTTTCTAAACTATATAGTTGATGAACAAATAAGATGCTTTCTTAGAAATCTCAAGAATAAGCAAATTGTACATAATACTGCTTCTACTGATCTTAAATATATTAATCTCCGATATCGTAATCAAATGCATACTAATTATAAACAAGATGAAAATATACTAAAAAATTTAGTAAATTCTAATATATCAACTACAGATCCTAGCAAAAAAATTAAATTAATCATATACTACACTAAATCTACTATATCCAACTTAATACTTTGCAATGATTCTTCTCTCCCCAGTTAGCAATTTGCAAAAAACCAACATAGTTTATAAATTTAAGTGCCCTTTGGGAGAGTGTATCTCCAACGAATTAAATATTTATTTATGTTGGTCATCTTAATGAAAACTCATTTTTAGGCATTTAAAACAACATGCCCTTGACATTACAATTTAATGAAAATACTTGTCGAAAACACAATTATACTTCGACATGAAAACAATAGACAAAAACTAAAAATCCTTGAAGCATTATACATCAAACAGTTGAAACCCAACCTAAACAAAATCAATCAGCATCTCTACAAATATTCTTAAATGTCTATAATTGGTAACAGAAGCCATTGGTTTATACCAACAGCTTTCCATATTTCATTCTCCAATTCACTCTCGTGTGGTCATGTGTGACGTCATGATATGTGGTGCGATTTTCGCTTCTAGTGTCTTATATACGCGTGTTTATCGTTGCTTAGAAATCATCTATGTAAACATTGACAGACTATCATCACTGTCGTGCCCGTATATTGTTTAATATGTTTGTAATTGACATCTTTGATAATGGCTTAAGTAAGCCGAAAGTTTAGATTATATTAAAAAATATGGATCAATATTGTGAATTTTTTTTCGTTTAATGATAATGTTATTAAACTTATCAGATGTTATGAAAAAAATTTACATAAAATAAATAGACAACAATTGTCTATATTATTTAATGAAACATGTATAAATATATATATATATATATATATATATATATATATATATATATATATAAAGAGGTCATATTGTATGCTTTTAAGTCTATGCAGATTTAGAAATAGTAGTAAGTTCTCATTACTTCAGAGCATAAAAACTAGTGACTGAAACTTCATAGTATCAGGAAAATATACACGAGCGTGAATTAAAAAATTAAAGGCAATTTCAATATAACCTTTATTTCTGCTGATGAAGAAACAAGAGTAAATCATAGAATTAAAGGCAATTTATATAAAACCTTTATTTCCCCTGATAAAGAACAAATGAATATGTCCCTTTTAGACTTATCCTCTTGCACAGAAATGCACTTCTGGTATCTGTTCAACAAGCTTCTTCATTCCTTCTGAAAGTAGCTCTCCAGTTGCTCATAGTACATATATGAATTGTTTATATATTTATTTTAAAATACATTGGTTTTATCTAACCCAAGTCATAGCACTATGACTTGTGCAGATCTATAGGTGAAAAAACTTGGAAAAACATGATTCATCAATAGAAATATCTTGATTAAGGCATCCACAAAACTGGTTTGGTTTAGTTTGGTTTATTTTGTTTTACAGCATATGAATCTCAATGGGTTATTTAATGCCAGCAACATTTTTAGGATAGATTCGTATAAATAGAATATGTATTCTTTGGTTTAGATTGGTTTGGTTTATTTTGTTTTCTGGCATATCAACTCTCAATGGGTTATTTAAAAGATGTAACATTTTGAGGATAGATTCATATGAATAGAATATGTATTCTTTGGTTTAGATTGGTTTGGTTTATTTTGTTTTACGGCATATCAATCTCAATGTGCTATTTAATGGCGACAACATTTTGAGGATAGATTCGTATGAATAGAATATGTATTCTTTGGTTTAGATTGGTTTGGTTTATTTTGTTTTACGGCATATCAACCTCAATGTGTTATTTAATGCCGACAACATTTTTAGGATAGATTCGTATAAATAGAATATGTATTCTTTGGTTTAGATTGGTTTTGTTTATTTTTGATTTTAATGGCATATCAACCTCAATGTGTTATTTAATGCCGACAAATTTTGAGGATAGATTCGTATGAATCGAATATGTATTCTTTGCTTTAGATGTGTTTGGTTTATTTTGTTCTACTGCATACCAACCTCAATGGGTTATCAAATGCCAAAAAATTTTATTAGAAACATTTTGTGGGGAAAATCAACAAAATGGCAATATATTCCTTTAAAATTGTATTGCTGGTAATAATTTTTATCAAAAATTATTGCAAAAAAAAAAAGTTAACCACTTGCCCATAGCAATTTGGGACTTTTATGCCGGACCTGGGAACACCAGCATGTAAGACTTTGGTGCTCCTGATCAGAAAGATTTGATGCCGGACATGACTAACGTCTTACCCAGGACTGCGAATATAGTTTAACGTCTTACCCAGGACGCAAATGTAATTTAACGTCTTACCCAGGATGCTGTGTGAATTGATAGGCCAAGATCTATCAACATTCCGATCACACATCTGCATGGGAACACAGAAACACAAATCACACACACACACACACACACACACACACACAATATATATATATATATATATAATATATATATATATATATATATATACCCAGAATCAACATTCAGGAATGACAGTCTTCTTCATGCTAAATGCAAAATCTATTTTGTGTGTGTCTGTGGATGCATTGTCCAAAATAAAGTAAAACCTGTCCAATGATAATTGCACAGCTCGGTAATATCTGGCACAACTCTGTCATACATGTTCTTGGACAGAGCACACACCGACATTACGTTCAAATCTTCAGTTACGAAAATTAAGGAATCTGTATTAATTGATGTTATTCTAAACATTCCGTCTAACCAGTTTTGCTCTCAAGGTCTGAATACGCGTACTTACGAATGGCAAAAGGAATTTCTCAAAGATGGTGCCAAAAGGATCACTTTGTTAAGATCAAGTATGAAATTTCCGGATCAACTGAACCTTTTTCATTAGCTCTCCATTCTCATATTTTGTGAATTTTGTCTATGTGTCTTCAAGATTGGACGTTTGTGGGAATGCGTTTTTTTGTCCCTGTATCTGTGCGGAAAAGATGAGAATGAATCGAAATAGTACATATATAAAACAATTTGAAATAAAATAAAAGTTAATTTTTAGGGTTTCGCC